CAGGGGCTAAATATCACATTATTGGGGGCATTTCAATCCGCGGACATGAAAAACAGCCCGCAGCAACAGTGTTAAAGTAGCCCAATTCCACGGGAAAACTGACTTGGCAACACTGAATAGTGAATCAAAAACTTTCAGGGCAACCAGTGTAGTTTGATTCACGAACGAATGACTCTTACGTAGGTTCTTTTTAGTGAATCAAAACATTCAGAGCAACCAGTGCAGTCTGATTAATGAATGAATGACTCCTATAAGTCAGTTTTTCGTAGTGAATCAAGAACTTTCAGGGCAACCAGGGTAGGCTGATTCAGGAATTAATGACTCTTATGAGTCGGTTTTTCATAGTGAATCAAAAACTTTCAGGGCAACCAGTGTAGTCTGCTTCGCAATCTAACGATTCTTATTAGTTGGTTCTTTGTAGTGAATCAAAACATTCAGAGCAACCAGTGTCCAAAAGCTTAGGCAGCTGACTTGTTGCACAAGGGTACCTCACAAAACTCATTTCGGACTGACTTCTGAGGCAGCGTAACTCTTTATTGATTGAACAGAATAGAATTTTGTCTGTAAGTAAATATTTAATTACAACAATACAAATTTTTCACTAGAAACTGAACTGAACCACAACTTTTAGATGTCTTTTTTTTTAGCTCAAACGCACAGGATTGTGGGATATCATAGGCAGCGAAGGATACCTTTATGCTGCCTTCAAAAATGTATCATATAAAGGTATGTCAGTAGACAGGATGTGACACGATCATTGAATTCCTACCTCCGTATGATGCCTGCATGCTATAATTCAACAATAACTACTAAAGACGTGGAGCTTTTATAGTGAATCAAAGAAATTTAGCACAACCAGTCTGATTCACAAACGAATGACTCATATGAGTTGATTCTTTGTAGTGAATCAAACACAGACTCTGACTAGTTGTTCATATGAAAGTGTGTACTTAAAGATACACATTGTGTTTTTTTTGGTAATATTTAAAACAAAAAAATACATGAATTAAATGTTTGCGTTTTTTTGGGGGAGGGTGTTTAGTATTTTTGTTCAGTGCATAATTAAAGCCAATTATTGGATTGTATTAATGCCAGCTCTAAAAAGGCAGCATAAAAAGTGTAAAATCACCTTTTGCAGGAACTGATTTAAACTCATTAATGAATTTATCTCATCAGTTTGGAAGTTTCCCCAAATATTCATTCTTAAAAGGTAATAAAAGACTTGTTAATGTAAGTGTTAAGGAACCAGAACTGTGAAAAGGAATCAAAAAAGTAATCATGAAATTCTTTCCAGTTACCATCCTTAAACCCTATAGTTCACATTAAGAAGAAGCCTTTTGACCTTTGATGACGTCAACGCTTCTCTTCCCAACAATGTGTCACAATGATGTCACGCTGTCTGGAACAAGGTTAAATTGTGTTATCCAGAGGGCCATTTGGTCTAACCTGGTCATTCTTAATCTTCAAACCGCCTGCTACCAGTTGAGTTGGGAGGTGTGAGTGGGTTGACCTGAGGTTTCTTTGCCAAGAGCTCGGCTGGATGGTCGGCTCAAAGTGTATCTTTTTAATGATGGTAGTGGAGAGGGCAGGCAGGGAAACATAAGATAAATGAGATATCACCATGGCGAGCGCTCCAAGCCAGCAGGTGTTTCTGAGGCTATTTTTAGCTCCATTAGGGCAGCGAGCCCAATGCCTGTGAACCATGGTTGAAGCTCATTGGCTGACTTCTTGAATGCTGTAAGAACACTGCTGCTCTTTATAAAGAGCTCTCTCAAATCAGAATTAATATTTCCCCCATCATTCCAGGATGCTTAGGGTCATCTGTTTGCCTCACTAGAGAGAGCTGCTCCTGTCTCTTCAAACTTGGCTCTTTTCCAAGAAGTGCCGTCACGACAACAAACCAAGGTGAATTTTTGCTAAACACCCAGAAGTTGGCTTCAAATGCTAGCTTCGACCTCAACTGGAGCTGACAGGCATAGCTGACATGTATCGGTGTCGACAGAAAGAGGGAGTGCTTGTGTGTGTGTGTGTGTGTGTATGTTTGTCTTATATAAGGGATGATATAATATCCATGGGTGCTCTCGGGGAGGAGACACCACACAGCGCAGCTCAATATCTGCAGGAAGAGGAGTCAGTATGATGTCGCCAGCGTTGCCATGGCAGCCAGTTTGGGTGGTGGATTGGGTGTGGGTTTTGTCATAGTCTAAGATTGCACCACTTGCTTTTATGTTGCTATTTATAATCAGCGGTTGCGCATGCAGACATTTTTGATGATGGCGGAGAACATTATGTTCAACCAAACAAGCACACAAATGCTTTACCATTAATGTGTGAATTGTTGCGTGTGTCACTGTAAGTGCCTTGCTATGGCAACTCATTAGGGGAATATTCTAGGCTTAAGAGACACTGGTTCATGGATAGAATTCATGGTTTAAAGGCTTTTCCTCTGTGTGTGTGTGTGTGTGAGAATGGAACAGGTGGTGGTGCATTATCCCAATAACAAGCTTTCTGAGGATTTAAGTTACATAGCTAATAAATCTAGTGTCTTGCATCTAGTGTGTTTATTGAAACACACAAATGCTTTACCATTAATGTGTGAATTGTTGCGTGTGTCACTGTAAGTGCCTTGCTATGGCAACTCATTAGGGGAATATTCTAGGCTTAAGAGACACTGGTTCATGGATAGAATTCATGGTTTAAAGGCTTTTCCTCTGTGTGTGTGTGTGTGAGAATGGAACAGGTGGTGGTGCATTATCCCAATAACAAGCTTTCTGAGGATTTAAGTTACATAGCTAATAAATCTAGTCTCTTGCATCTAGTGTGTTTATTGAAATTCTATCTATCTATCTATCTATCTATCTATCTATCTATCTATCTATCTATCTATCTATCTATCTATCTATCTATCTATCTATCTATCTATCTATCTATCTATCTGTCGTTCTGTCATTCTGTCGTTCTGTCGTTCTGTCATTCCGTTGTTCTATGTATTGTTCAATCTTTCTATTGTTCTGACATTCTATCTATCCATCCATCCATCCATCCAGCCAGCCAGCCAGCCAGCCAGCCATCGTTCTGTCTGTCATTTTGTTAAGATATTTTGAAGATTGTTTCAACTTTTTTTATCCCCGTAATGAAAATAGTAGGATCCCAAACAACAACTTCGGACCCCATTGACTTTCAGCTTGGACGAAAAAAAAATGTGTCTATTCAAAACGTTTTCTTTTGTGCTTGACATAAGAAATAGAGTGATACAGGTTTGGAACAACAAAAACTTTGAATAGAAATTACATATTTATATATAAGAAATTACATGTTATTGATTCTGTTTATCAGTCATTAAGGCTATGTGCTAAAGTGCTCATTAAAAATTAGCCAACTAACCCATCATGCTGACTAAGAGGAAAAACCATTTGACATAATCATGTTTCCAGACACTTGCGTACTCAGTTAACCTTAAAGTGACTTGATTTCTGTGTGGGATTTCCTGTTGTTACATCATCCCCAATTGTATAACAACCACTGTGTGATTTCCCTCAGTGCGAAATTCACTGGACCATAAGTATATCCTGACCACCTGTTCTGTAAACTTCTTTGTCTTTCTTCTCCACACCCATAGATCATTCTGTACGTATACACTTTCCAAACGCCATGTCTTCGTAATTGCTTTTCGTCACGCAGAAGAGTCACAGTCTCTTATGATGAGCGTCTCCTCTTATCCGCTTTCCGAGGGACTGTCCTCCAGGCTTGCTATTGATTTTCACTGTCTCTCGGATATATATATAGTTCTTGGGACCTTGGGGATGCCCTCTGCTTTTTTGTACCTGGTGTATTACTTGTAATGAGGCACAGCTTGAAGACTACAGCAGCAATTTTCCATAATGGTGAAGGTGTGATGATGGCTCTAAGGAGGGAGGATGATAGGGGAATAAGAGGCAGGAACACAAACATCACAACTTTCTGAACAACAGACTGCAGCACTGCAGTCCCCATACTGACCAGAGAGGTCAGTCGAACACACTGGACCAAACCATGGCTAGTAATAACCTTCAGAATTGCTCATGTAATGCTGGCTGGGATTCTTATTTAGACACACTACTGCATAGTTGTTTCTACTGTATCTATGCCTACTGTATCAGAGAAGCTCATACGGGGCCATACTTAGAAACTTTTGATGGGGGAGGTGTTCAGCGGAGGAGCGAAATGAGGACATTTTTTTTCTAGCATGTTGGAAGATTCAGCTTAAGACCTGCTCACACCAAGCTATAACTATAGTGTTAAACATAATGTTTAAAAAAAAAAAATCAACAAAACTATAACGATAATGACACAAGAACAATATTGTTAGAACCACTTTCATACCGATTTTTTTTAACAGCTGATTAACGATAAAAATGATAAAAACATTGAAAGCCAACTTGACTTTAAAACACATACGGCAATTATTTTCACATTAATTTTAAAATAATAAAGTTTAAATTTAATGTCTCTAAAAGTGACATGTGGTGTAACTATCAAGTAACAATAATAAAATTAAATAAATTATCTTGCAGTGAATACATGCGAATGAATAAATTGTCAAGGTAAATATTTTTTTATTTTATTTTTATAAATATTCATGAAGTCATGAATGTCATTATCTTTTGGAGTAGTGAACACATTGCATTTTACACATGGTCTTGACATGTCATAAAAAATGTCAAATTTTCTGATATTGACCTTGTCTTGAGTGTCTCCAGGGGTCCTGTGTATGACATAACATTATTTTAACTATGCATGTTGGTTGTACCACATGACTTTTTTGGTTGCCCCACAAGACTTTGATTTGATGGACTCAAGTTTTTCAAATATTACCAATTTCAAAACCAAAGATATTCATAGCCTCATATATGTATACCTGATCATTTCAATATCTCTGAATAATTAATAATAATAAACCATCAAAATGTAGGACATACTTTTTTACTAAATCCTTCTATTCTCACTTTTTTATTTCTCAGTGGACATTAAACCAGAGGTTCCACTGGCTCTTGATCCGGGCTCCCCACTGGACCTACGTACAGACGTTAGGATGCAGAGCTCTGCTTCAGATCCCACTGTGTGGGAAAGACAACTCCAACAAGAGCTGCTCCTCATTCAGAAACAGCAGCAGATTCAGAAACAGTTACTCATTAGTGAGTTCCAGAAGCAGCACGAGAACCTGGTTCGCCAGCATCAGGCCCAGTTACAGGAGCATTTGAAGGTACCAACACAACCCTGTTGTCAAACTGAGCTGACGCAACACAGTCCAACTAGATGAATAAATGTATAATAAACATCTGCCTCTCAGTTGCAGCAGGAGCTACTTGCTATGAAGCAACAACAGGAGCAGCTGGAGAAAGAGAGGAAACTAGAGCTCCAGAGTCAGGAGAGAGAACTGGAGAGACATCGCCGTGAACAACATGTCCTGGTCCTCCGCAACAGAGAGAAGAGCAGAGAGAGTAAGAGCTCATCATCACGCTCACCCACACAACACTCAAACACTCCACAACCTGTCTGTACCTAATACCGTCCAAATGTCATCAGTCAGATCAAATGACACATTTATATGACGTCTGCTTCTTTTCCATGTTCACTTGAGAAGGTGTTGAACAACACAGGATGAAAGTTACCAACAAAAATAAAAGATAGATCTGGGCTGGCTAACTGTAATATATACATGTATATACATATATATATATATACATATGTGTGTGTGTGTGTGTGTGTGTGTATGTGTGTGTGTGTGTGTATATGTGTGTGTGTGTGTGTGTATGTATATATACTGTATATATATATATATATATATATATATATTAGTGCTGTCAAACGAAATAATAATCCAATAATAATAATAATAATAGTCCTGTCGCATCCAAAATAACTTTAGTGTTCATCCAAAAAATGCAGAGAATGTGTACATTCTCTCATACTACTAAATAAAATATTATATATAATAAAAATTAGGACTGTCAAACAATAAGCAAAATAAAGGTTTGTGTTTACATAATGTACGTGTGTGTACTGTGTACATTTATTGTGTATATATAAATACATACACATACAGTATATATTTAAAAATATTTACATGTATATATATTAGTGCTGTTAAATGATTAATTGTGATTAATTGCATCCAAAATAAAAGTTTTTGTTTACATAATATATGCATGTGTACTGTGTATATTTATTATGTATATATAAATACACACACATGCATGTATATATTTCAGAAAAATATGTTATTTTTATATATTAAATATATTTATTTATAATATAAATTATATGAATATAAATATAGACATCTAAATAACAAAATATATACTGTATTTGTGTGTATATTTATATATACATATTAAATATACACAGAACACACATATAATACTCAAACAAAAACTTTTATTTTGTATGCGATTAATTGTTTGACAGCACTAATATATTTATATTCATATTATAAATACATTTAAAATATAAACAACTTATTTTTCTCATGCACTTTGAGAATTAAAAATTAAAAGCTGCAACCCATGTTCTTAACTAAGAAAACTTAAGTCAGAAAAAAGCCTGAATTGACTTGTACCTGAACTTTAAAGGGGACTCAACCCTCTTTTTATTTGTGATATACTGTCTAAATTACAATCTAAATTACATTCACAATGGTGTTGTAGGACGCCAAACTAATTAGAATATAATAATAATAACAACAATGACAGTAATATATTTTAAAACAATTGCACTCTAAAATTAATATATTTTACATATATTATTTTTGCTTTACACTACAGTAGGGAAATTACAATACTTCTTTCCTAATTTCTACACTTGAAAGAGATATTTTGAATTTGGACTGCATTTGAAACTGGACGAAATGCGCTACGCTTTGAAACGCGCAGCGAAAACAGACTTGATGAAGGGATTAGGCCATATTGTGCTTTCGGTTTTAGTTAGTTTGACAGATACAGTACTGTGCCAAACAGGGCCGCTGCTGGCCAAAGGGGTGCCCTAAGCAGAATAGCATTCTTGTGCCCCCTCCAAAAAAAAAAAAACCCTACTATGAAGGGTCAAAATATAACTTTAATAAATTATAAAAGTAAATAAATAAATAGTAATTAAATCTGATTATTTATAAATTACAATTGTAGCTCTAGACAGTTACCTATGGCTATAATTTTATTAATCCCATTGTCTGATTGATTTTATCAAGCATTCAGAAATCCCACAAAATAAAATTAAGAAGTTTTCCTTCGATAAAAACATGGTTAATTTTGGTAAGGGTTGTGATGTCCACATGTTTTTTGCTGAAGAAATTAAGTGAATATTAAACAAGGATTTGATCATCCTGTAAGTGTAACAACAGTAATTATCAGGCCTTTGGTGCCCTTTGCAGGCATTTGTAATAATGCAAATTGTTTATTTTGTATTACATTATGTATTTAACAGTGTTATTCAATGAAACCATATGATTATCATTAATTAACCAATCATTATTGCCTCATTGTTTTATATATAATACATTTTAAGTCATGAAAACTAGAATATTAAGTCAGATGCGTTGTTGGTGGTGGTTAAATTATTACCGACATTAAAACACGTTACTAACGTCAACAGTCAAAAAAGTTTCACAGGATTATGAACGTAGTTACCTGAAAGTGATGCACGGGATTCATCTTGGGCTTTTTTCTTTTTATTTTCTCTTCGCCGGACTGCGCTGATGTATTTTCCCTAATATAGTCTAGTTGTCCATTAATTATGATAATCATTTGTATTCAGCCGCAAACATGAAGTGAGAGCGAGCGCGGGCGCAGATGCGGGCGCAGATGCGGGCGCAGATGCGGGCGCAGATGCGGGAATGGCGCGTCATGTGTGCTTATACTGCCTATACGTTCTGAAGCACGTGTAAAATCAGTCCAATGGAGCAGCGAGACGTCACAAGCGGGGTGACGTGAGTGCCAGGAAGTATAAAAGTGCATCTGGCAGAGCGCAAGTTAGCTTCGATGAAGTAGCGCCTGGAGGGATGCAGGGAGTATGGCAAAGAGACGCAGCATCTCGTTCCCTCGGGGAACCATGGTTACATACGTAACCTAGAGACGTTCCCCTTCAGGAACTCGGGCTGCTTCGAGATTCGCTTTGGGAACGAGAATACCCACTGCGCCATACTACCAAGTCCCTGCCTGTGTGTGTATCAGATGAGCACATCACGAAGAGAGAACTTGGGAACCTGGGGTAGATGCCAGGTCTAGGTTATAGAAGCGGACAAAAGTGTGCGAAGAGGACCAGCCCGCCGCAGCACAAATGTCCTGCAAGGCCACACCCAAGTTGAAAGCCTTGGAGGCCGCCATACTCTCGGTCGAGTGCGCTCTGACCCCCATAGGTGACGGGAGGCCAGAGGACTCGTAGGCTAGTGAGATGGCCTCGACCACCTACCTACTCATAGTCTGCTTGGTCGCAGGAGATCCTTTCTTTGGCGGACCAAAGCAAACAACCAGCTGATCTGCTTTACGCCACGGGGCAGCTCTGTGTGCGTAAGTGTCCAGTGCTCTAATTGGACAGAGCAGATTAAGCCTTTCTTGGCCTACTTCCTGGAACCAAAAGGTATACCGTTGGACGCCGCTGCCATCAAACCCAACAGCCTCTGAAACTGTTTGACAGTGAGTGACTGGCCTTCTCTTACTCTCTTGACTGTCGTGAGGATTGACTCAATACAAGCAGGAGACAAACGTGCCTGCATCGTGGTAGAATCCCACACCACGCCTAAATAAGTGGTGCTCTGTAGTGGAGAAAGTACACTTTTCTTGGCGTTTAGTCTTAATCCCAGCTCTCTCATATGGGCGAGGACGACATCTCGATGCCGAGCCGCCAACTGCTCCGATCGAGCTAGTATCAACCAATCATCGATGTAATTGAGTATGCGGATGCCCTGGAGTCGCAAAAGAGCCAGAGCTGCATCCACACACTTCGTGAAAGTGCAGGGTGAGAGTGACAGGCCAAAGGGAAGAACTCCTGAAGGGGAACTACAGATAACTACTTTCCCGGAAGACCTATCGTTTCATATCGTCATGTGACCACGATAATATCGAGACAGTTTTGATATTGCGATATGCTATTCCTAGTAGATAGTTAATATATATAATATATAATAATTGTATTATTTATGTGGGTAAATCTGAAGAATATTAATTCAAACGCATGGGTGAATCTCATTAAAATACATGAAAATGAAATAATTATATTAAAATTAATACATCTTTATCTTTATTTAGTAAACATGCATGCTTTTTATATAAACAAATTAATGGCAGTATATACAATATATATA